TGCACTGACTCCAGCCTCAGTCCACTCCTTGTGAAAGTCCCCTACACTTTTGAATGGCCTTTTCCTGACAATCCTCTCCAGGCTGCGGTCATCCCTGCTGCTTGTGCACCTTTTTCTTCCACACTTTTCCCTTTCACATAACTTTCTATTAATGTGCTTTGATACAGCAGTTTGGGAACATCCATCTTCTTTTGCAATTACCTTTTGAGGCTTTCCCTCCTTATGGAGGGTGTCAATGCAGAAGCACAACTGTCAAATCAGCAGTCTTTCCCATTGCTGCGATTCCTACTGAACCAGACTGAGACCATTTGAAGGCTCAGGAACCCTTTGCAGGTGTTATGGCTTAATTAGCTGATTAGAGTGGGACACTTTGAGCCTAGAATACTGCACCTTTTCACAATATTCTAATTTTCTGAGATTGTGGATTTGGGGTTTTCATAAACTGTAAGCCATAATCATCACAATTATGACAAATCACGGCTTGAACTATCTTGCTTTGCATATAAAGAGTCTATCTCATTCTTTAGTTTCACCTTTTAAGTTGCATTACTGAAATAAATGAACTTTTTCACAATATTCTAATTGTTCGAGTTTCACCTGTACATTATCACCAAGGTAGTATATTGTTACCATAATAACATTGTACTACTCTGGGAAGTGATCAGTATTTTTTTTTACACAATTTCATTGCTTATAGCAAAGAATTTCTTTGCTATAAGCAAGCATTTAACTGAATAAAATCGATTCACTCAGGTTTTTTTTATTGTGATTAGCTGTGATTGGCCATGGCTAATCACATGACACAGATGGGTTGTGATTGGCTCAGCTTGTGCATGTGATCGCTGTGACCATTCACAGCTAGACACATGTGTATACAATGGATGGCATGGAAGGAAGCCATCCATTGTATACAACTGTCATGTGACCTGCTGTGATTGGTCACAGCAAGTCACATGGTACTGGCAATGGGGTCAGTACACAGATCTGTCATCAGCCGTGTCCGAGGTACATGGCCAGTGAGATTTCGCCACAGCACGGCCAAAATATGACGCCCCCCCGGAGGGCTGAGGTGTTCGCCCAGCCATCATTTGACTATAGGCTGGGCAGCAAGTGGTTAAAAGTGTGATTTTAACTGCACTTTCTGTCTTTGTCTGGTTTATGGTTCCTAACATTTCCACAATCCTGGCCTGTTGGTTGTGGTGGTCTATGTGCAACAAGCTTATCAGAATCAGGAAGCTCCCTTTAACAATAATTGGTGCCTCAAGCTACTGTCCCCTCCATTTGAATGAAAACTCATACACAAAAAAGTCCTTTAATCTCTTGCTGACCACGTCACGCATAAATGGGTGGGCTTTAACGCCCAGTTGTTGCCTATATTCATCTACAGTGGCAGGAATATGAGTGCTGAGAGCACAGTCTAAGAGCTGTGGAATATCCAAGTGGTTACCACATACATCTGAGGTTCCTCATACTATCCTGCAAGCCAAAATTTATGGATTAATGCTTTTCCCACTGCCACAAAAACCCACACATGCCAAACACACAACTTGGGGTAGCTTGCCACTACCTGCAATTAGCTAACTGGTCTGCTAGGCCAGTGTTTCTCAACCTTTTTTCAGTCAAGGCACACTTTAAAATCCTGCACTCTCTTGAGGCACACCATTCTAAAATGTAAAATTAAACTAAATCAATAATTTTACATAGTAATAAAGAAATGTGTAGTGAGCGCTCTTAGATATATATATAGCAGCTGGAACACTTCAGGCAACCACAGTACCTTTAGAATATAAGTATATCAATGTAACAAGAAACAGTGCAACGCTCAAGAATTAATAAATAAATGAATGAAAACCAACTATATATATATATATATATATATATATATATATATATATATATAAAAAAGTCTGTGCAATATCCGTGGTATCGTCTGGTAAGGTGAATACACATCCGGAGTATATACTGCCTCGAAATAATAGCAATGCGCACTCACCAGAAACGCATGGATTATGCGCATGTAGGGTAAATCATCCCAGATATCAGATCCAACGAAGACCGAGTGGTGGGCGTCCTACTCACGGTGGGTCATCAGATACATCAAGACTGATCCAGAGGTCCCCTTAAGGTTACTCAGATAATCCACACTGATGGTGTTGATCCCTCTTCTGGCTGGTAAAGGCACCCTTTCTGTGGGAGTAACAGCTCCACAAAGGAGCCCCAAAAACAGGTGCCAGAGATAGTGTAGTATGCTCTTAAATGATTTTATTTGGTCAAACATCGCAATAGGGCAGTATGCATATCACAACATCAGGGGTCAGTAAATGCTGTCTTTCACCTCTACACTCATGTTGTGATATGCATACTGCCCTATTGCGATGTTTGACCAATAAAATCATTTAAGAGCATACTCTGGAGTAGGACGGGTGTTTGCTGAGCTCCGTTCCAGACAATATCCTGAGTGTCTTTTGTCACTTTCCTACTCTTTCAAACTTACCCGGAGCCTTGTATTCATCTTGTACCATGTTTCCCCCTCGGAAAGCTGCCTCTGTTACGCCCTACTTGGACAAATTTCGCAGACAGGAGCGGGGCCCTCCACAGGAAGATTGCACCTCCCTAGCCTCAGATTCTACCACCGCTGATACAGTGAGAGTTCTTGAGGCAATATCCTCATGTCAGGCGACACGAATGATGAAAATAGAGGTGAAGTTACATATACCTACTATACACCAAGACATGCACAAGCTACGTGACCGGGTCACTGAGACCGAGGCCTGTGTATCAGTCAAGCAAAGGACACTCTCCACCCTTTGCGACACACCTCCGAGGCCATGCAGCGTCAGTTGCAACAGCTCAGCCAGAAACAGGATGACCTGGAGAACCGGTCCCGACGATGTAACCTCTGCTTTATTGGCCTCCCGGAGGGCTCAGAGGGCCGGAACCCAGCTACGTTCTTGGAAAACCTGCTCATTACTACTTTTGGCAGGGAGACTTTCTCATCCACCCTGGTAGTGGAATGAGTGTGTCAGGAATGGACTGGCCAGCAATAGTGGGACTCAGCTGCCTTATGAGCTGCAGTACCAGGGCTGGCCAGCGGGTGCTCCCAGCAATCAGAGACTCAACCTTGCAGCCAGTCAAACACCTGGAACTAATTATACTGGTGTATTTAAGGGACATTCAGACCTGCAGACCTGCCTTGGTGTTGTGTTTCTCTTGGGCCCTGTATCCTGTTCCTGCTCTCTGTTCCTGTCTGATTCTCTGCTGACCCTGCTCTGATCCCTGGCTTGTCTGACCATTCTCCTCTGCCTGACCCTCTGTACCACGCTGCCCGCTACCTGCTGAACCTGGCCTGTGACCCCAACCATTCTCCGCTTGCTCCCCCTGTACCTACCTGCCCGACTGATATTGACCCGGCCTGCCTGACGACGCTTGCATTGTATGTACTGTTATCTGTGGGTGGTTGGTTGGTTTGTTTGCACTGTGTTATGTTTTAGTATTGCACTGCGTTTATGTTTGTATGGTTAGTGTTAATAAATTACATTGTTTATAACATATCTGAAGTCTGCGTTTCCCTGAGTCAGTCACACACCTCTGGTCACACCCGGGAGCCCTGACATTACACCAAGGCCAATCCTGACCAGAAGTGGCTGCACAGGGAAGCCATCTTGGCTTGTTGATGGGAAGGATGGATCTGGATGAGGTTGCGTATTTATATCTGCTAGTGTTTGATGACAGGGAGTATGCTTATCAAACTCTGAAGGAGTATACCCGGGGATGAACTGCTAGAATGTATACGGCTCGCTCATGTTCTAGTAGATCAGGGCACAGAGTTCTCTGAGGTGCAGCCATTGATTCAGGTTTGTGCTGAGTTGGTTTCATCTGGTACCCCCGAATGCAGGGATGAATGTTTGCGACCATTTAGTGCAGACCAGGTAGAGTCCCTGGTATGGTTATTAGAGGATGATGTGGGTTACTTTCTGGAGCGTTATACCACATGTTCACCACAGACACTAAGAGATTGTATAAACGCAGTGCAGTCATTGACCAGACAGGCTTTGTGTAAGCTCAGCTTTTTCAAACCCATACTGCAGACATGGACAGACTTGTTGCACCCAGCCTCAGTCAGCTTACAAAGACCCAGTCCTGCTTCTAATCTATTTCCTCAAAACTCTATTCCTGCATTCTCAACAGCTCCTCCTGCCCTGCTATCTACCGCATGTCAGTACCCTGTTCCCACTCGCTGCACCTATCCTGCCTTTAACCCTGTAAAAAAGCCCTCTGTAGCAACTGCTCCCTCTCCTGTTCCATCCTCCAGTTCTTCTCTGTCTCCAGCTGCTCCATTCGTTTGCAGACCTGCGTTTACTTGCAGTGCTCCAGTAGTTAAAACCAGAAAAAAGCGAATATTCTTTCCAACCAATACCATCCTGCCAGTATCCAAACCGGTGAACCTGCCTTCCGTGGTTCAGCCTGAAGCCTCTACTCAGCCTGAATCCTGTACTCAGCCTGATGCCTGTACTCAGCCTGATGCCTGTACGCAGCCTGATGCCTCTACTCGGCCTGATGCCTGTACGCGCCTGATGCCTCTACTCGGCCTGATGCCTGTACGCAGCCTGATGCCTCTCTTCAGCCTGAAGCCTCTACTCGGCCTGATGCCTCTACTCGGCCTGATGCCTCTACTCGGCCTGATGCCTCTACTCGGCCTGAAGCCTCTACTCGGCCTGAAGCCTCTACTCGGCCTGAAGCCTCTACTCGGCCTGATGCCTCTACTCGGCCTGAAGCCTCTACTCGGCCTGAAGCCTCTACTCGGCCTGAAGCCTACTCAGCCGAAGCCTCTACTCAGCCGGACGCCGGCATTCAGCCTGATGCCTCTACCCAGCATGATGAACTGATCCAGCCTGACGATCCTATTAGGCCAGTTGACTCGATGCCCGCTGTTGATCCAGATGATCCGGTACCTGATCCGGTGCCCGCTGTCGTGCCAATTGACTCAGAGCCCGCTGTCGTACCTGGTGACTCGGTGCCCACTGCCTTGCCAGATGACGTGGTGCCCGCTGGCGAGCCAAATGACCTGATGCCTGGTGACCCAGGGCCCGCTGTCATACCTGGTGACCCGATGCCCGCTGTCGAGCCAGACGATCCAATGCCTGGTGACCCGGTGCCCACTGCCTTGCCAGATGACGCGGTGCCCGCTGTCGGGCCAAATGACCTGATGCCTGTGACCCGATGCCCGCTGTCCAGTCAGACGATCCAATGTCTGACCCAGTGCCCGCGTCATACCAGTTGACTCGGAGCCCACTGCCTTGCCAGATGACGCGGTGCCCGCTGTCGAGCCAAATGACCTGATGCCTGGTGACCCAGTGCCCGCTGTCATACCTGGTGACCCGATGCCCGCTGTCGAGCCAGACAATCCGGTACCTGATGACCCGGTGCCCACTGCCTTGCCAGATGACGCGGTGCCCGCTGTCGAGCCAAATGACCTGATGCCTGGTGACCCGATGCCCGCTGTCCAGCCAGACGATTCAATGTCTGCCCCAGTGCCCGCGGTCATGCCAGTTGACTCGGAGCCCACTGCCTTGCCAGGTGACGCTCGGTGCCGCTGTCGAGCCAAATGACTTGATGCCTGGGGGCCCGAGACCTGTCCCGCTCCGTCCAGCCGGCGCCCCAATGCTGACCCTGGGGGTCCGGCGCCCGCCGCTCCGCCTGGGGGTCCGGAGCCCCCGCCGCCCCGCCTGGGGGCCCGAGACCTGTCGCTCCGCCTGAAGGCCCGAGACCTGTCGCTCCACCTGGGGGTCCGGCGCCCGCCACTCCGCCTGGGGGTCCGGACCCGTCCGCTCCGCCTGGGGGCCTGGCGCCTGTCGCTCCGCCTGAGGCCCGAGACCTGTCGCTCCACCTGGGGGTCCGGCGCCCGCCGCTCCGCCTGAGGGCCCGAGACCTGTCGCTCCGCCTGGGGGTCCGGCGCCCGCCGCTCCGCCTGAGGGCCCGAGACCTGTCGCGCTCCACCTGGGGGTCCGGCGCCCGCCGCTCCGCCTGAGGGCCCGAGACCTGTCGCTCCACCTGGGGGTCCGGCGCCCGCCGCTCCGCCTGAGGGCCCGAGACCCGTCGCTCCACCTGGGGGTCCGGCGCCCGCCGCTCCGCCTGAGGGCCCGCCCGAGCCTGCCCGTCCGGCGCCCACCTGGGGGTCCGGCGCCCGCCGCTCTGCCTGGGGGCCCGAGACCCTGTCGCCCCCCTGGGGGCCGGACGCCTGTCGCCCCGCCTGGGGGCCCGACGCCTGAGGGGCCGAGACCCGTCGCTCCCCCCTGGGGCCCGACGCCTGTCGCCCCCCCGGGGCCCGACGCCTGTCGCCCCCCCGGGGCCCGAGACCCGTCGCCCCATCTGGGGGTCCCGCGCCTGCTGCGCCGCTCCGCCTGGGGGTCCGGCGCCTGCTGCTCCGCCTGGGGGGCCGATGCCTGTCGCTGCCCGCCTGGGGGCTGCCTGCGCTTCGCCTGGTAATCGTGCCTCTGCCCGGAGTCCTGGGGCCCGAGTCCTGCCTGTGCCTCGCCCGGAGTCCTGCCCGATGGGCCCGGAGTCCTGCCCGATGTGCCCCCCCCGGGGCCCCCCGATGTGCCTCTGCCCGGTGTGCCTCTGCCCCCTCTGCCCGGGGGCCCGCTGCCCGGCCAGCCCCGCCCGGGTGCCTCTGCCCGGAGTCCTGCCCGATGTGCCTGCCTGTGCCTCTGCCCGGAGTCCAGCCCGATGGCCTCTGCCCGGCCAGCCCGATGCCTGCCCGGAGTCCTGCCCGATGTGCCTCTGCCCGGGGCCCGATGCCTGCTGCTCCGCCCGCCTGGGCCCGGTGCCTGCTGCTCCGCCTGGTGGCCCGCTGCCTGCTGCTTCGCCTGGTAATCCGATGTGCCTCTGCCCGGAGTCCTGCCCGATGTGCCTCTGCCCGGAGTCCTGCCCGATGTGCCTCTGCCCGGAGTCCTGCCCGATGTGCCTCTGCCCGGAGTCCTGCCCGATGTGCCTCTGCCCGGAGTCCTGCCCGATGTGCCTCTGCCCGGAGTCCTCCCCGATGTGCCTCTGCCCGGAGTCCTCTGCCCGATGTGCCTCTGCCCGGTGTGCCTCTGCCCCAGCCCGATGTGCCTCTGCCCGGTGTGCCTCTGCCCGGAGTCCAGCCCGATGTGCCTCTGCCCGGAGTCCAGCCCGATGTGCCTCTGCCCGGAGTCCTGCCCGATGTGCCTCTGCCCGGAGTCCAGCCCGATGTGCCTCTGCCCGGAGTCCAGCCCGATGTGCCTCTGCCCGGAGTCCAGCCCGATGTGCCTCTGCCCGGAGTCCAGCCCGATGTGCCTCTGCCCGGAGTCCAGCCCGATGTGCCTCTGCCCGGAGTCCAGCCCGATGTGCCTCTGCCCGGAGTCCAGCCCGATGTGCCTCTGCCCGGAGTCCAGCCCGATGTGCCTCTGCCCGGTGTGCCGCTGCCCGATGTGCCTCTGCCGGAGTCCTGCCCGGTGTGCCAGTCTTTGATATCCCGCCAGTTACCAGACCCGGGCGGTGGAACATTTTGCCCAGCTAGGACTGTTTGGAGCGTCCTGAGGCCGCTCCTTGAGGGGGGGGTACTGTCAGGAATGGACTGGCCAGCAATAGTGGGACTCAGCTGCCTTATGAGCTGCAGTACCAGGGCTGGCCAGCGGGTGCTCCCAGCAATCAGAGACTCAACCTTGCAGCCAGTCAAACACCTGGAACTAATTATACTGGTGTATTTAAGGGACATTCAGACCTGCAGACTCTGCCTTGGTGTTGTGTTTCTCTTGGGCCCTGTATCCTGTTCCTGCTCTCTGTTCCTGTCTGATTCTCTGCTGACCCTGCTCTGATCCCTGGCTTGTCTGACCATTCTCCTCTGCCTGACCCTCTGTACCACGCTGCCCGCTACCTGCTGAACCTGGCCTGTGACCCCGACCATTCTCCGCTTGCTCCCCCTGTACCTACCTGCCCGACTGATATTGACCCGGCCTGCCTGACAACGCTTGCATTGTATGTACTGTTATCTGTGGGTGGTTGGTTGGTTTGTTTGCACTGTGTTATGTTTTAGTATTGCACTGCGTTTATGTTTGTATGGTTAGTGTTAATAAATTACATTGTTTATAACATATCTGAAATCTGCGTTTCCCTGCGTCAGTCACACACCTCTGGTCATACCCGGGAGCCCTGACAGAGTGCACCGCATGCCGCCCCGAAGGGTGCGCCTCCTCGAACGTCCATTGCAAAACTCCTCAATTTTAGGGACCGAGACACTGTACTACAGCTGACTAGAGAGAGGCAGCATCTCCTACCAGAATGTTAAAATATCGGTGTTCCTTGACTTCTTGGCTGAGATTCATCGGCAACGATCCTGCTTCATGGATGTCAAGCAGCGCCTTTGCACTAAACACTTGAAGTATGCCATGCTTTTCCCTGCCTGCCTTCATGTGGTGGGTGAAGATTGGGTGCACTTTTTCGAGGACCCCGAGACGGCCTCGTCCTGGCTCGACCAACACGATGAACATTGCAGTCGCCTTGCTTCACCCCGTTACCATCTTACGGAGTTCTTGAGTATGTCTCCCTCCTTACCAGGGGGTCCTCCATTTTCTGTTTTCTCCCAGTGATTCACATAGCCCAACACAGCATTGAGGACATCAATATGCTCCTTTCTTTCTCCCTCCTCTATCATTTTTCTTCCCTTACTTCGGCCCCAGTATCACTGTCCCCATCCTGCTCCATCGACACTGACACCCCTACACTTTTTGCCCCCCTCCACGTTCCTCTTATTCCCACCTCACGCTTTCTGAGAAAGGAGGACAGACGGGATATTCTCCTTCTTCAATTGGGGGGCCTACTGCCCTGAACTCTGTACCATTGAGCAGACTCTCGCACATCTAACCAGCTCTTATATGACTTGCCTCAAGCCAAAATTTGCACCTTGTGTTCTGCTGCTTATACATCTCTCCAGTGAGAGTTTGTCCCCTTTTATGCCAGTTTGTTATGGGATTTATGCCCCCGCCAAGTTTGGGAGGTGGAGGGTGGGGGGTGGGGGTAGGGGAAACGTTTAGGTTTGTCCTCACATTTGTTATAGTCTGCATTTTTTAGAACTGTTGGTACATTGTAACATGTTTCGTAATTGCACAATACACACCTCTCTACGTTCAGGATGCTCCTCATAAAGTCTCAACCAAGGAGGTTCTGCTACCGGTCGCATGCAGATCCATGATATACAACACCTCATGGCTCCGGTGAAGTTTGTCACTTGGAATGTCCGCGGGATCCATGATAAACTCAAACAGTCAACCATGTTCAACTGCCTTAAAGCTCATGGGGCAGACATAGTAGTGCTGGTCGAAACGCGACATACAGGTCAACTTCAGTTGGCCTTAAAACACCCATGGATAGGCTTGGCATACCATGCCATGCACATTCAGTATTCTCGTGGGATGCAGTGGTGTATTTAGGTTTTGTGCTACCCTAGGCAACACAAATATTGTGCGCCACCCCACCCCCAATGAGAGTTCAATGAGTGCGTGTGTGTGTATGTATGTATGTATATATATATATATATATATATATATATATAAAATTCTCCCTCTCTCTTCCCTCCATCTCCTCTCTCTCTCTCTTCCCTCCCTCTCTCTTCCCTCTCTCTCTCTCAGATCGTATGGGACTGTATACACACACACAATATGCACAATATGATTACCCCCACACACACACCTCCTCAAAGGGCTTCTGATCTCTGGGCAGCAGGAAATGTGGGCAGGGGGTGGAAATCATACTGTGTGTGTGCAGTCCCATATGATCTATCAGTGTATCATGTGCTGGATGGATGACAGGAGGGAGAGCCCAGAGAACACATCACAGCTCACCTCCACAGGGCTCTTTCCTCTCCTTGCTGTCCCCTGGTCCCAGCTCTGAGTGCGGGCGAGGGAAGGAGCTCAGCAGAGAGCGGCCAGTCAGGTAGACCAGGACATCCCCTCCATCCAGCCAGGTTTGTCTCTCCCTCCAGCAGCAGAAAGGCGGCGGGAGGGAGAGGGGGAGAAACCTCAAACTGGCTTTCAGCTACTGGAGGGAGAGTTACACAGTGCATCCTTCTATAACTGCTCTCCCCTACACACCGATCTTCCTGCTGTCCGGGCCACCTACAGGAGTACCAGTGGCATTCCTCTGATGGTGGACCTGCATGGCTCTGTCCGCCGCTGCTCACCAGGTCCCTTCTCCTTGGGGGGCGGTGCTCCACCCCTAAAAATTGCCACCCTATGCAAACACCTTGTTTGCATCGCGGTAGATACACCCCTGATGGGATGTCTGTGCTGGTGACTAAGACGGTACAATTTGAATTGATTTCCCTTAGCATTGACCCCCTTGGCAGATACATTTTCATGCATGCTACCTTGTATGGTTGCCCCTATTTAATCCTGGCTTGTTATATTCCACCCCCATATAACCCCGCAGTGGTCAGTGAGGGTTTTCTTTTCATGGCTCTCAACACCCAACGGTACCTGCAATATGGCTTGGTGACTTCAATATGGTTTTGAATCACACTCTGGACCGACTGCACTCCTCGACAGACCCCCCTACACTGACGATGACCTAACTTAGCCGTTTGCTTACTGACTTTGCTCTGACAGACACCTGGCATTATAG